CCCCAAAACCCCAAAACCCCAAAACCCCACTCTACAGATAATTTACATAATCAATAAAATCAACAAATAAAATATAATCAAAGTCTCTATCACATCATAAATCAAGTTCCTAATGTTGATAACCTCTTTTACTAGCATAAATTCTAACTGCCTTAGAATTATCATTTAAAAATTACAGTATTCCATTGGTCCTTCTTATGCCTTGGTATTTAAGTGGATATGCCTTTTCTCCCATTCTATAAAGTACTATTGTAGGGTATTCATGCACATGATCATCTAAGTCATTCAGCACTACATCTATTCTGCCAAATATTATTCTTGGCGTGGTCTTGCTCAGTTTTTAAGCCGCTGCTTCATATTCTGGTAAAATGTTTTAGGAATGAGAACAGAAGTGAGCATAGTATAGTATCACCACATCCTTGTCTCTTGTTTCAATGAATTCATGAAGTTTGTTATCTCCCTAGATGTCGTAAACAGAGCCATTCTTGACTATTTTCTCCTCTCCCTCCTGAACTTTTAAATGTCGCTTCAAGTTGCCTCTCTTATGATGTCCAAGGAATTCTAGTAGATTCTAAAACGTAAGATGAGTGTGCAGATCTTTCTCCTAGAGTACATACTTCTCAATTTATTTGTCATGAGGGTGAATCAAAACAATCAAAGGTAGATGTTCATAGTCAATGCCTATATGATCCCCAAGTTTCTTCTACTCAGCGTTGTTTATATCTGAGATAACAAAGAATACCTCCTCATGATCTTTTTCCATTTTCAAGTCTAAAGCGATCTCCCTAAACTTTTACTCTAAATTGAGATGGTCTGGAACTCTTTCATCTCTGAAAAGAAACATAGCAATATGCCTGTGAGTGAAAATATGGTAAGCATAGTTTTACTCATAGATAAATACATCTGGCACTGACTTCTAAACTATCCATCGCTCGAAATTGGCATGAGTCCAGTTCTTCTCAAATATCACATGCTCTACTGCTGCCTTTCTCAGCAATATAACCTCTGGTTCTTTGGTAATTTCATAAGCATCTGCTATTTCACTGCCTAAATCAGTACGAGTGAAAAATGCCTTATCATATCTTCTGGCTACTAATGTGTAAATCTGCTTATATTCAGAGGTGTTAGTATCGCCAATATATACTACAACTACATCTTAATGATCTTAAAGATCCCATAGTTGTGTCATGTTGCTTATTTCTTTTACATGAGGATGTACTTTTTTATAAACCCAATTATGAATATCCTCAAATTAATCTGTAGTTCCCCAATAATACTAAGGATGTCCTCTGTGAAAGTAAACGAATGAGGGATACATCTTTACCTTAAATCTGTCTCTAGCTTTAGGACTAGACGGTCCATCAATATAAGCAAAGTACATAGGTGGGTCTAGTTATGACAGTTCTTGAGCAGCTCGTCTAAAATTAGAATCTAGCTTTTTGCATTTGTAGCAATGCTCTGAAGTAAATTGAACAAAGACATAGTCGTGATCTCTCATATGATCATCGAATGTCAAGTCAGTTAAGTTAAAAAAGCCATTATCATGAGTATGCGATTATGCAGTTGCATAACATATCATCGCATTTATTAAAATAGCCAACGCCAGTCTTAGCAAACTCATTTTCATTTTAATTATTTTTGTAAAATTTACATCATTTATTTTTATAGAAACTATCTCTGGGGTTTTGGGGTTTTGGGGTTTTGGGG